AAACCCCTGCACAGCCAGACAAAATTCAAGAATAACAGAACATCTGCAAGCATTAAATACTTGGGTAGCCTCACAGATAATCGTTGCTTTAATTTAAATCAAGGTGGGATAACAGAATTCAACACCTGTGAAATGACACAAACCTTATGTTTCATTGTAACCGAATCCCAGGACATGTCAATGCTCTTGATTGGGCCGAAGGGGGCAAAGGCCTGTCTGATGGTGTCCTCACCAAGCTCATAGTATATGGAGCCCACATACACCCGACACATGATCGCTAGTGCACGTTGCCGCTGAGCTGCCACCTGCCAACCAGGGAAAACAACACATAATAAGCATTAGAGAGTAAAAGAAAGGAAGCTCAATACACACACACACACAAACAAATAATAAATGTGTATTTTCTACTGTGCTTGCTTTCCCCAAGAAATGTTAGAGGCCAGGTTTGGGGGTCTGGACAGGTAAATAGGGTAATAATGGGATACTGTATCAATGGACAGAACTTTGTGGAGAAAAGAAATACTAACATATAAACTGTTATAAAACACTGATGTTATCAGTGATAATTACAATATGGCCTCTATTCTGTTACTATTGAACAGACATATGGAGGAAAACACACTGAAGTGATTGACATGCACAGCCCTCACAAATATTTGGCTTCAGTAACTGACCTGTAGTCCAGGGATGCAAGTAAGGTAACAAAAGTAATCGTGGAGTTCAAACGAAATCCATACAAAGTCTTGATGAAAGCATTTCAAACATTCTTCTCAAGTCTAAAGGTGAGGGATTCGGTTTAATTACCGAAAGTTGCTGTGTTTCATTGATGCCTTTAAGCCAGTCTGTTTCTGTTAAGTCTACTGTATCACCAACAAAAAGTAACAATTTCCTAATTGATAACATTGGGGGGAGGGGAAGATGACTTGTTCATTCACAGAAAAAAACTTGACTTTGAGATGGCCAAAAAGATCCCTGTCCCAACAGTTCTCTCATTTTGGTCCATTAAAAGGGATTGCTATCCCTCTTTTGTCCCATGCCAAGAGTTTTCTGTTTCTTAGAAGGAGGAAATGCATATTTTTCAAAGAGACGTGACTTTTCTCACATTTATAAACCCTTTACAAAATCCTTAAAAAGCCTGTAAACAGCTGAAAAGCCTTTTACTATCGTCTTATAAAAAAACTACTAAAGCAAATTATCCCATTGCAACTCAAGAAAGTAAGTGCTTCGACGATTAACGGCAGTCATTCATCTCACAAAGGCTTGCAGACATGGTCGCAGGTACGCTAGCTGTAGAAAGCCATGTTTTCTTACAAAATATGCATTCTTTGGTTAGATATAAAGGCAGGGATTGTTGTCAACGCAACCAGTAAAAGAAGGGTAACAGTCCTTTTCCATTGGGAATGCGCACAGAAAAAAAATTTAATAATCTATTGACCGATTGTAAAGGTGAGAGAGGATCTCCAAAGCCCATTGTCACTGCTGCCATCTGAAAGACAGTAAAGATGAAAAAAGTGCTGAAAAGTAGGTTAGATATCCCTTAGCTTTGCTTTTTCAAAAAGGTCATTGCTTTGCTAGATAGACAGAAGCGGTTAGGCTAACACTATATTCAGACCCTCCCTCTAAACAACATACAGTTTGAGGATTTACCTCCCCTAGCTAAATAACAAATCACCACACAGCAATAAACATAACCAAGACCCCTTTAAAAGTGCAAAGCATTTAACATGATAACCAAAGCCTTCACGACGATCTTCTCCATCTGAAAAAGAGCAGAGGCAAAAGCAAGGGCACATGGTCTACACATGTGTTCTTTCTCGCAGCATGTGGAAGAAGGGAGTACGACTTCCAAAAGAGCTATGCCAAAACCGACTTCAGAAACTAAAGATGACTGAATTACTGAAGCATGAAAAGGCTAAGATACTCTGTCTAGAATCAAGACTCACTGGTGACACGCGCATTAAAAAACACTTTTTGTTCGGCAGAGGACCAAACTGTTTTACACATCTCACCTGCAGGTTGGTGAGCTGTTGTTGCTGATGGGCAATGGTCTGCTTCACCAACACACTCTTAATGCTTTGTTCCATGGCATACTTCTTTGCCTGGGAAAGGATAAATAATACATTTAATTTAAACTCCTCAGATGAATGCACTTTTTTTTTTAAATAACATCTTTACCAAGACAGATATTGTATCAATACAAAGAAATGCACGCAAGAAATGTAGATTACTCAAGAACATATTAATGTGTATGTGCAGGAGGTCAATATTTAAAGAGTAAGGCTTATTCATATTAAATGTGTTACTATTTTTTACATGGGTAAGTATGGCTATGTTTAGCGACCTATTTTTTTCCTTCCTACCACATTGCTGTTACTTTTTCTACCTTAAATCTTGTCATGTGCGTGCATACAAGCAAAAAACTAAACACATTATAACATCCATACATGGCCAGATAATTGGCTTTCACTAGAACAATCAGGCATCTCCAATTATGGAAGCAAGGTTTCTTGTATACATGGCATTTAGAAAATCAAGCTCTTGCAGAAAGCTAACTGTAACCCAGGTACTTCAGCTGATGTAAAAATGCACTCATTTAGTTTTGGCATTTTATCAAATACTGGATGAGTTTCCTACCCTCTGAAGTGCCTCCTGCTGCTCTGGGGTGAGAGGCGGCAGGCCAAGCTTGGAGCCTGTGCTCTGTCCATTCTCCATCGTCAGAGCTGCACCTCCCTGCAAGTTAGAAAAACAACAATTCATGCAAAATCTGAGAAACAAATTGTGGAGCATAAACACCTGCCTTTATATATCCATAACTAAATTTTCCCAGTTAAAAAAAAATAAAAAATAAATCCTGTATTGCAAGCAGAAGTCACATCACCTCATACAGCACAGGTTATCATTAAATATGCCACCATATACAGGACATACACCCGGATTTAAACCAGGTGGTACCGGACGAACTCCTTACCTACGCAACCCGCTAATCGCTGGGTCCACCAGACTGAGGCAGGAAAGCCCCCAAGGGGAAGAGCACTGATGGGGAAGCTTTAACAATTCAACAAATTCTAGGGGAAATAAAAAATGCCTTCAGACTAACAATAAAAGAAACAGGCACCTAGCATCATTTTACATTGAAATCTGCACGTAGCCTGCCCGTCTTTCCGTAGATTTTAGTCAGCTAATGTTAGCGTGATGCGCATGAATGCTAACGACGGTTTTCATCCTAACATACGCTGGCTCGGTGAAGTAGCAGAAACGGGCTAAGATTAAGCCATAGCCGATTAAATGTTAAGTCAAAGTCGAGCTAAGAATTACATACGCTCTATCTTTACAACATCTCGATAACCTCAACCGTGCAATCCCTACTAGAAGCCCTAATTAATTAGTGAGGCCTGGTTTCTACCCTGCTTACAATAACGACACCTACGTCGCTAGCACGTAGCTAGCAGATAGTAGCTAATGTTAGCCATTCATTACTGTGGCGCGAGAAGCAAGCTGCATTGTCCCCACGGAGAAACACTGTTATTTTACAGATTATTCACTTCACATGAATTCTAACAGATATCGCGCATTACCTCCGCAACGATCACTATAGCTAAAAAATGTTAATGTGTCTCTTTATCAAAGAATTTATTTACCGCAGTCTCCGTAACCGCCATGAAGCACACCGTCGCGGAGAGGCCCTCAAACTCCAACACCCGCGAGACTTCGCCTCTTTCAATGGAAGTTATCGCGATAGAAGACTTTCTCGCGATGACAAGGAGATTTGAACGCAATCTTTTGTCCTCAACCTTTCATGACAAAAAATTACATATAGTTTAGAATTTAATTTATCTAATTTTACTACCATTTTTTTGTTGCATTTTTAATTAAGTATTGTGTTAGATTCATATTTTCACTACAAATGTTTAGTCTAAACTTCTTTTCAATCAAATACTTTTACATTAATGTTTCTATTCAAATGTTTCTTTCGTGTTTTTATTGTTGTGTTTATTTTTTATATATGAAGACAGAAACAGCCCCAAACTACAATCCGTCTCCAGACGTAAGGGAGTATCTTTGTCTGACAAAGGCAACAAAAAAAAACATGCAGAAACCCACAAGATCTTTTTTTTTTTTAAAAAAAACAATGCATTTCTTTACATTTTATTTATTTACATTTATTTGGAAAAGAAATTGAAACAATTATCATTCCCACTAAGATCGTGACTACTCTATTTAGTGTTTGGTGGTACCTGTGTTTCTGGCCTAGATTGTATGTACAATGTATGGTTTATAACCAAAGATTGTGACTCTAACAGAGAAATCAGTGGTTGTAATGATAAAAGTTAGGGCAAGAGTGTTTCAGTGTGAAGTGAAACCTGTGAAAAATTGTCAAGGCACACATTTCGGTGGAAAATTGGATGTGTCATTGGTGTTGTTCACTCTGAGGTCAATTTCTTACCTGAGTTTACATCTACACTACCTATTTCAAAAGCAATGATTTGTTACCCAGCCTAAAATGTAATTAAGGATCTTGAAATCATTTTATTTCTGATTTACTTAGCTGGCAAAAAAAACAAAATGAACGATGTATAAATGACGTACCTTCAAAATCCAGTCTTTCAGTGTGCAGTTCTAAATTCTTTAGTTGCATACTTTAAAACTCTAATATAAAATGTCGTCCAGACTAATCACATTTGACACCCTCAAACTTTATTTTGTTCTTCTCCAAATAATAATTTCTTATCCTTTGCAGCTGGATAGTTTATTCTAATAGTGTGCATGTTATATATTTAATCAAATCTTTTTTCTGTCATAATCTGTGGTGCCAAGAAACTAGTTACATGTTTCAAAAGATCACAATATTATCTTGATAACTGAATGAATTCTTAGCAGAAAATATACCCAACATATTTGATGTGACAACATGCAATGTATATGTCTCAGAGTAGTGAAAGTTTATTGATTCATACTAAATCCTAATCTTGTAAATAAATTCCAATCATTTCAGACCGTGCCAACATGTCACATCTCCTTTATTGTCATGTAATTAATTGCAGTAGCTACAATATTTAACAAAGGTTTAAGTAGAACACATTCAAAGGCAAGTTTCCTTTAACAGAGTCACAAGAAAGAAAAAAATAAGTCATTTGACATAAAATAAGACTGATATGGATGTTTTCTTGTTATGTTTGCACATTCTAAACATTCATTTTCTTGGTCAGGTCCCCTCTGGAACTGAACGGTGACTGACAAAGGCAAAAATGCAAAGTTTTGAATGGTTGCAGGCTATTAAGACATGCAGCGTACAAGATCAGATGAGAGCAATAGTGGCACTGCTTTGCATTGAAATTTTGTCCGAAGTAAGCCCCTTTGATAGCCATAAACAAATATGTACACCACAGCCTAACTGTCTGGGAAAATTCAGGGCTTCTGTCTTCAGCGACACACTGATAAGTAGGCATGACACAGAGTATAGTAGTAAGTACTGTAAGCAATGACTGTACAGCAGTTTAACTGTTATGAAACTGGAAAATTACAGACCCGGAAAAACGAATGGAGCAGAGCCAAGTGAGTCTGACAGACAAGAGTATATTGCTGAAGACTGATCAGACAATTCTCTATTGTGTTTTTGTTTTTTTTTACTCTATAGTTTTGTTAAGGAAAAAATCCACCCAAATGGTAGTTTTTTTGTTTTTTTTTTTTACAATTCCAAGACTGGTTTCTTGACCAGAAAAAACTGGCGGAGTTTTGTGTTCTATTTTTGTCTTTGTGTGGGCTGCAGTGCAATCGATTCCCAAGTTCACACTGATATTGTCTGAAATAAAAGCACAGTAGATGTAGCTCTGGCAAAATGAACATGTACAAACTGAAATATAAAAAAAATAAAATAAAAATCTGTAGCTCATGAAAACTCTAATGGAAATAGCTAAATCCATATGCATAATAATACACATGATAGAGTTCTTTAATCATAGGTTGTCTAATGATTTGGGTAGATTTTGCCATTCAAAGACCTCTAGACCTATTCACAAAATAAATGTCCTCAATTGGTTTTGGGGGAATCCAACAAAAAAATGAGTATAGCAATGATATTTATTAACATTATGGCAATTTTTATTCAGTTTTTAATATCAGATACCCAACACCCTTCCTATTATGTATATAGGACTTTGCTTTGAAATCACACGCTGCTATATTCCAATTTTTACACAAAGGCTGCAGCTCTTCCAGTAATAATGTTGACTTTCTTCAGAGAGCATAATGATCTGACAGACATGTCCAATATACAGTGGCCGCTATCGCTGGGTGTCGAGCTTATCTTCACATTCAGGCAGGTCGACTCGTAAAAAGAAAGACCAGGTCTGATTTTAAAACTTAAGTCAACCTGAATTAGTTAACATCCAAATTGCTAAGTTGGGTACGATGCCGTTCCATTTGGAAATTTTTGTCCAAAGTACATTGCCATATCAGGCACTTTGCAAGTCTTTGGCTTTCACAAAACACCTTCGCAGGGAAAAAACCTTAAGAGCACTACAGGCTTAAAGAGAGGCGTCATCTCCTTGCTCGTCACTACATTTAGGCGTGGCATGGTTAGCTGCATGAGAAGTAGCCTTTAACCCAACACTGCAGTGAGGTGTGTTACTTTGCAGATTAAAAACATAAAGGAAAAAAAAAAAACAGGTTTGTGCAATGCTTCTACTGTTCACAGTTACAAACAGAAATAAATAAGTCAAATGATTGAGTATTAACAGTGCATGGAGGTTGGAATATTTAATTCCTGAAACTGAAATAAATGGTTCTGACTTGTAAGAGAGGGAGGCTTCAGTAAATGATTTTGTTCAAAGTCAATAATCACCAATAAAAGTGGGCATTGGAGTGCAAACGAGGCTTTGAGCAATAAAATGTACTTTTGAAAACACAGCTGCTGCATCTGTAAGTAAAACATATCCATTCTGAATAGTGGCATTATGGAAAAACTAAGCCATCAAGATTTCTTAAGGCATGATAGCCCTTTTAAACAGGGAGTTTGTCAATCTTCCGCTGCTCTGTGGGGTTGCTGGTCTCAGCCGTGTCGCCTCTGGTCCTCCAACCAGAGGTGCCTTCGGTTTGTCTCTCAGTGCCGGCATTTTATCCTCCTTCTCACTGGGATTGTTTAGGCTCAGCATCCATCTGTATTTGTCCCCCTTTTTTTTTAACCCCCAGCCTGGTCAGCTCCCTCTGCTCCCTCGGTTCCTGACTGTGTGATCCTGCCCGCTGCCCTTTTCTTTCTTTCTTTCTTTCTTTCTCCATCTTTGTGGTCAACGCACCGGGCCCCTCTGTCCGGGTCAGCCGCTGTCATGACCCCCTCCTCACTGTGTGCTTCCGGAGGCGAGCGCTCGGACTCGGTGTCGGTTAATGGCGTCCTCCAGGAATCCCGCCACCTTCTCAATGTCCTCCTGCACAGCACACAGTAAAAAGCTAACTGAAAAAGTAATTCCTAAATAATAATTTCATCATGTGTGCAATGTTCCTTAACAAGGAAAGTGAGGGAGCTGCTACACCTACCTCATTAATGAAGGCGTAGTGAACAAGTTCACTGGCGAGGTCTTTGGAGGTGTCCGCTGCAAGTGTCACATGAAATAATTCAGTTAGAAAAATCTGCAATAAAAACTAAGCTGTCTTTTTTGAAAGCATGGTAAGCCTCTTTATTTTGGTGCTGCCAAAACAACTTTGAATGAACTAAGAAGTTAATTCTACATTCTGCTACTATAGATAAATAAACACAAAATCCATAGAGCAAAATAGTCACCAACAAATACACTTTGTGATCTCTCATTCTTGTAAGTAATGTTAAAAACATTTAAAAAACAAAAAAGAGAAACCATTTTTTAAAAATATAATTACATTACAAGGCCTATAAAAAGTACAACAACATTGAGTTATGATCAATCAAATTTTTTGACAAGAAAAAACAACAAAAGAAGGATTCTTTAGACTTGAAAAGAGCAGTTCAGCCATGTCCGTCTTGCAAGATTTGCAAAGAACAATGGGGTAAAACTGCAGTGTCCAGATGTGAAAGGCTGATTGAGATTTAATCACACAGGCTCAATGTTGTAAATGCAACCAAATGTGCATTTACTAAATACTGACTTGAAGAGTGGGAAAACTGTTGGAATCACCCCTTTTTTTTGCTTTATATTTTTAAGTAATTCACATTACTTTGTAGATATCTGTCTTTTTTTTTTTGTGGTAAATTCTTGTCCAAAATGCCATATCACATTGACCATGATTCATTCATTCACATCTATTAAAGGAGTACATATTTTCTGCACACTGTGTGTATTTAGAACCAGTGGACTTGGGGCTGAGAGCCACGCAAAGTTTTCAGAAGCTATAAAGTCAAGATGCTTTGTTCGTTTTGGTCTTTTTATGGGATTTATATACAATAACGAAAATGAAGAATAACTTTAGCCTTATCCTGAACATGCTGATGTTTATAGCTGAGGTCAACTTACTTGGAAGGATGTCACAGCTCAGCTGCCTGTGAAGTTTGTCATCCATCTTCAGAAACAAAGAGAGCTGAGAGGAGATCAAAAGGTCAAGTTAAATTAAGCTCACTTCTTGTTTAACCATTACAAGAGCTGCAATGCTATTGATAAAAAGCCCAATTTTATTTATGTTTTATTAAGAGCCCAAATAAAGTGTTTGGACTGAAATGGGCAAAGTAGCTGTAACACTACGTGACTCACATGAGTTTTGGTCCCTTCTTCATTTGACTCCAAGTTACAGTGCATCTGAACAACCTGCAATGCCAACAGACAAAAACTGTAAATGAAGGTCCAAGTATCAAACAATAAACAAATTAGTATAGTGAAATCAATAATAAACAGACACAAACAAACACACACAGGTCCTGTTTTTTTTTAAACAGTACATAAGCAACACGTATATTAATCCTCTAAACATCAAAACTCGCCGATTGGCTTGAAAGACGTCCTATCTTTTAAAAAAACATCCTCAAAATGACTCAATGTATCAGAGTCAGAAACTGTAAAAACAAAATGAATTGTCAGATTTAACTTTCCAGAGGAGTAATTTTGTTAAAATCCCTTTATTCTATTATCACAAAAATTCTGAGACTTTTCAACTGAATGGGGACAAACTACAGGCCGTGTTCACACAGAGCAGATAGGAGGCAAGTGTGCAAACAACTTATAAATGTAAATAGTTAAATATCTATAGTATTGTAATTTTTTTTTAACATATTGCTAACACGTGTGGGCACTTCGAAAATGTACTTTTTTCAATTTCTGTAAAATAAATAATCAAAGAAATTCAACTGTCATTTTATTTTGTATGATTTATCGCATCATAACCGTGTCATACTGCTCAGAAGACATCGCTGACCTCTTTCTACTTCTAACCATGGTTGTGCTGTTTCTATAAAGGCGCAGGACTTCATATTGTAGTGAACAATGAGCCAACAGTAAGTAAGAGAGATGGCCCACTTTATTCCCAATCTTACATCCTTGACATACTGCAGAGTGGAGACCATCAGCACAGTCCTCCTCTGTGGACATTTTACCCACTACAGCATCACATGAGCGCTGTATTCTTCATGTGGGTTATGACTACAGACTGAGCAGCAAGCTAACTAGGAAGCAGGATTGTGTCTCTGACATGCGTGTGGTGACATCTGAAAGGCTGACCTTCCTCGTCTCTGTCTCCTGAGGTTCAGGAGTCGGCGTCTTGACTGTCTCAACCTGCTCCTGAGACAAGGACAGAGCTCGAGGGACGGGGTGAGGACGAGTGGAGGCGAAGTTCATCAGTGGGTAAATCCCATTCCTGAAGAGAGGAAAGGAAAAAATGTTAAACTTCAAGCTGAGATCACAGCGTAACAACCAATACAAAGCCAATAACACAAAGCATTCCACTTACTTTACATCCTCTAGAAACTTATCCAGTTCCAAAGGAGATACATGGGAATACCTGTAGACAGAGAAAGGCACAGTGAGTGTTGTATTTGACGTGGCATGTTGTAATCACAGATGGCTAAAGATACAAGGTAGTTATTGGATTTTACTTGAGCTGAACTCCCTGTCTGTCGTCGTGCTTAATCTCTGCCATGACAGCGTTGGGGTCAAACGACTTGGTTTTCTCTTCCACGCAGTTCTCTGGAAGCAAATCTGCAGACGCAAGACATGGTCTGGATATTAATAAACTGCTCTGATGTACATATGCAACAGCAACAATTTGTGTAGTGCATTTGAGATGTGATTAAACTAGCGAAAAGATTTTTAAAATAATTTTTGAAACTATTTTCTAGACCTTGGGATGTAATTTGGAAAAAAAAAAATGAAAAGAGACAGTCACTTCAGCGAGTACTTATAGCAGAGGAGTTGAGTTTAAGATGAAAACTGTTGACATCAATCAATTAAGATCATAAAGTGTGTATAAATATGAAAAAAAATGGGTGATTTTCGAGTGGACAGCTTGCGGCATGTGGCAGGGAGCAACTCACATTGGTTGTTGATGAGGCAGTGGGCGGCAAGCAGTTTGAGCGAGTGGACTTCGAATAAGACTCGGTGGAACAGAAGGTCATGAGCCGTAGGACGGAGCTTGGCTTCGTGGCGCAAACAAGACTGGGTGAACTCCTGCAGAAAAGCAACGGCACACTTAAGTTCAGCACATAACCACACAACTGCACAGTGTGACCCAGTTTGAAGAGCATCACTGCGCTCTGAATTTAATTGCTGGTGAGTTTTACTGAAAGTGTCTAAAGTCCCAGCATGTGGTCAGAAATAAACCTAGAAGCAAGGTGGTGTGGGTGGGCGAGTGTTAATAGAGCAGAGTGGGACAGTTTGTCTCCATGTTTCCTTGCTTGCAGTGGTATAGAATGAGGACATGAAGTATTTTTGAGACTCACTCTCATGAGAGGGTCTTCCAGAGATTGACCTGCATTGACTATGGCCTCCTTGGACACAGCAGTATCTCCATTGGCCTGGATTTCCAGTACTGCCATCTAGAGGTACAAATAATCTGTTAATACACACAAGCACATACAGAAAGATGGAAATCTTACGGATCTCTTTCGCTCACCTCTAAAGCACAGATGCCAAATGAGAAAATGTCTATGGCGTAATCATCTTCGCCAGCTGGAAATAAAAAAAGAGAAGCAGAAGAGGAGGGTGAAATATAGAAAACTTCAAGGAAAACTTATCCCAAAAGGAAAATGTAGTCATGTCCTTCTCAAAATCCCCTTAACAGGGACAAACTGAAAGAAATTAAAGTCAGTTCAAATGATCCACTGAATGGCTCCAAATAATTCATCTAGAATGATACAAATGATTTGTAGCTCATTGATTTCACTGTGGCCCCAATAAATCCAACATTCTCCACATTATTTCTGACCTTTACAGTCAATAGATCACAATATTACAGCTTCTATTTGCTGTTTTTGGCAGCAAAATGAAGTTCTGCTGCACAAAATGCTTAAAGAAATCATGGACAATTCATGTTTTTCTCAGAGCTATAAAAGTACCTCACCAGCAATAAATAGCAGACAAGTACTAAATTTCTTTGTGTTTGGTTTTCCCAGCTTATGGGAGATTTTGAACTACATTAAAGTGTGAAGGCAGGGCTGCACGACTATGAAATGAAATGAAATGAAAAATACTTTATTTATCCCAGAAGGGAAATTCAATTTATATATAGCAAAAATGCTCATAATGATTATCTCTCACGATTTGTGACTAATTTTTAATCAGGATACTTCAATTGCACTTTCACATTTCACTAAAACACAGCACTGACTTCACTTCTATGATGCACTACATTCCTGCTAATGTGCAAAGCAGCATCGAAGTTAGACTTAAAATAAGGTTCCTCTTTACATGAATTCATTGAATCTCCTCGAGGCAACACGTGAATAAAACTGTACTCATAACAACACCTCATTTGCTAAAAATATGCTTATCAATAGACTATAATTTACCAATGTTCCCTGAATGCCTCACATGCATCTTGTACACAGAGAGGCCTCTTGTCTCCGCTTATTCACTTTGACAAGTGTGTTGCGGAAAATTGAAGTTAAAAAATCAAACGATTTTTATCACAGTCAATCATGCTCCTTTAATTGTGGGAAGCCAAAATTTTGATTAATATTCAAATAATTTTGAAGCTCAGTGTGAGAGTAATGACTGAATTTTTCATTTTTGATGTCAAACATTCAATTAAAGATGAATAAAGACAGAAAAGATAGAAATCTAGTCATAGAAAGCTACACACAAACACCACTTACCTCCATATTCCGGAGCAAAGAAATGAAGATTCCTCTGCTCATCGCGGTGTTGCCTCGCTTTACCATGAACGCTGGCATCTGGGAAAACTGCTCAGAGAAGACACGAATATTACAGATTTATTAGATGAAATAAAGTGATGGATTGATATGAAAAAATTACTACGACAAAATGATCTATTTCTTACCATTAACAAATAGCCGATGCCAAACTGTGGAAAGAGAATTAAGCACAGTTGTGATATTTATTCTGCTTTGTAATAGACATACAGGTAAAACCACACTGTGAGGTAACAGTATTAGTTGTAGTGACACAGAAAGCCCTGCTGGGAGCAGACCTGAGCCGATCTTGATGAGGCCGTTGTGCTGGATGAAGATGGTGTCACATGTCAGGTTGCCATGGATTATTGGTGGGTCGCAAGAGTGGAGATAACTGCAGGTGAGAACAATAAGCCGTCTTATTAATGCTCTGGCTGAGACAACAAAGATCTCATATGTTAAAGAAGTAATCAGTCGGTACCTGAGTGCAGAGAGAATCTGGGTGCACCATCTTTTCCAGGCCTAAGATAAAGTGTAACAGAGCAGCATGAAAAAATACACCATCGAAGATACACGCTTGGAAATTATACTCTGTTGTAATACACGATAATACATCGTTTCTATCTTATCCTTATGTGGCATCATGATAACACTTTGTTTTTGCAATTTATGGCTTTGCATTATGAAACAGAAAACACCATATGCCTACTGTCTGACAGATGGAAAACAGAGAGCAAGAGATGAATTGCAAAAAAAAAAAAAAGGTTTCAAATCCACAACATTACAAGGATGTATGTCTGAGCTGACTGAGCCACCAGGGTGTCCTGTTACATAATCTCTAATCCTGACTGAAATATGGATCTGAGTGGTGGTCGCACTGCAGTACCCTGAGCAGCCGCCACCAGACAGACGGAGCAAAACCCTCCACCACCACCCCAGTATGTGACCAGAGTTAAAACACCGACCTTCACATTCATGGTCTTGTGGTTCTTCTTCGTTTTCTTCAGGAATTGCTTGAGGCTGCCTGACGACATGTATTCAGTGATGAATATAACCTGAAGACACAGATGGAGGAGAGAAAGAAATGTTAATTCACAGGTTAAAAAAAAAAGGACAGAGAGAGAAAGAGATAAAAGTCTTACCCGTGCTTGGCTCTCCTTCATGTCCAGCCAGTATTTGTGGAACTTGACAATGTTGGGGTGCTCGACCTGCATCAAGTTCTCAAACATCTCCTTGATCTTCTCCTAAACAGCAGACATCAGAGCTGGTTCACATTTACACATAACATCATGGACCAAATACGGTCCTTCAATCCACAGGCCATTGCCAAAAAAGCTAAAAGATTTAGTCAGTTGCTTAATCAGCAAATCAATCAGAGACACTTAAGATAATCAGTATTAAAGGAGACTTGTAAGCAAAAATGCAAAAAAAAAACAAACAAAACAAAAACAAAAACTGGATGGTAAGAGCCAAAATTTGCAAATTAATTAGAATGCTTGGCAAGGACATGAAGTCTGTTCTGCTGAAAGAACATAAAACAATATTTTGCGACTTGCATTTAGAATTTTCTACGTCCGAGGGCTGACTATTGGAATAGGACTCCTCTTACTGTACGTTATACCTGGGCAAAATCCTGAATAAGCTTGCCACAGAATGAAAATGGCTTTGAAATGCATTTAGCTGCCATCAAACAAGCTGACTATCAACCAGACTGCAATTAGTAAAAACTGCACAGAGAAACTGACCTTCATATTAAGACTATGATATGATCAATGCATAAAATAGTGAAAAAAATAAACCATATGTGGATTTCAGATTGGAAATGTATCGTATTGTCAACAGATTTTCACTTTAAACCCAAACATTAGTTTAAAAAAAAAAACATAAAACTTGTAGCTGAAGGTAAAAAAGGTTCCAGTACCTCCTGTGCTTTGAAGACCTTCTTGTCTGAGAAGAGCACTTCGTTCCAGACCACCTCCACTCCCTCCTCTGTGTCCATGGCAAGAGAGGCACTTTCCACGCCTGGGACATTACCTTGGCTGACCTGTAGTGGGTAAATGGAGAAATGGATGTTAAAGACTTAATGGGATCATTAGAGCTGCAAACACTGAAGCACTACTTTAATGCGGCCGTTATTTTGAGACAACACTAAACCAACAGTAAGTGATTTTTTGCCACTTGGGCAGAAGAAACAAGCCATAAACACATCATGAACATCTTACAACCTATATATAAAGCCGTTACAGACACTGCATATATCACAGCACAACCAGTCAATTCAACTTGTGTTTATGTTCATCTAATGAACACAAGTGTTCCACTGTGTTTATCATTCAGATGCTAAGTTTGTTTATCTGCTGTTTGCTGCTGGATTGATACCATTACAGCCAGTTTGTTGTAGACTTTTGCTAAAAATGGCTGTCTACCGCAACAAAACAGCAAAGTTGCATGTTGTAAAACCAAAACAATGGGCTAAAAGATGCAAAAATGCTACTTGGAGCAGAAAGTAACTTAAAAGTCAGGTGATAAATACTGAGTCTAACCAGTTTATATATATATGTTGTGTGATCTGGGCCGATATGAATACTTTTCCGACATCATATTGCAAAAACAAATGCTCAGGGTACTTTAGAAATTATGTCCTCATATAGTTTGTCAAGTAGAGAGACTCTGACTCAGTTGTTTACAGCACTCTCAGCACTGTCTGCAGCACATGTAGCAGGGTAAGACAGTGGTGCAGAGTCAAGCGGTGTCTTCACAGTAAATTGCAAACCAAAATAATGTCAAAATTATGGAGTCAAACTTGAACTTTTTACTCTCTAAATACCAGTAACAGCCCCAAAAATCCAGTTGTGGTTCTAAAATTCACTTGTGGATTCGTAACAAGAAGAAACTCTTTACATGCACATAGTCATTTGGTCCGTTGTAAATATACTTTTTTATAGTAGCTTTAAGCAAAACATCAGGTGGAAACTTTATTTCTGTAGCTAAAATACACAAGTAAAGTCAACACAGCTCCTTGTGAAAGTACCAAGATGTCATATCAGCACTGCTATCACTACTTAAGTTCAATACAGGTGTAAACTAGCCAGTAAGAAGACAAATGCAGGAGATTATGCTGGTGTCCCCAAATGACACACAGTTGATTGTCCCTGAAAGCGTCTGTATTGTAAAAACAAAGTAGCAGAGCTTTATCAAGCCCTCACTAAAACACTCAACAACAGAAAAGCGTGCCAGAGCCGACTACACTGTGACCATAATATCTGCTAAAAGCCCCATATAACACATTCACTGAATTATGACACCGGCAGCTCCATTAATAAAAAGTTGAATCTGGGTGTCTGGGTTAAAACAGACAGCACAGCACTGTCTACAAGGCATAATGTTTTATTTAAGTGTCATCAAACTCAGTTTTCCATCCATTAATGCATAAGAAGGCATCAGAGCGGATAGATGGGAGATAATTCACTGCACTGAGGTTGTGTTAGATGCCTTCCAGCCAGCCGGCTCTAACGTAATGATGAGCAGCGAAGAGGGGCGAGAGGATGAGCAGCAGCTTGTGTAAAAAGGGAAGAGATGGATTAGCCGGAGACAGTGAGGGGGATTGCGGATGAGGGGTTTAGAGCAATGAGACACATGCCACAAGATGGAGGATGTGGAACCAAAGTGTCAAGAACTGCAAAGACCAAAATGAAGCGGAGCTGAGTGGAAGCGAAGAGGCAGCGGCTCGGTCTATAATCTGGCAGACGGCTCGGGGCTCCAACGCTGCATGAGGCAGCAGAAGAGCTCAAAGACAGTTCATCACAGGATATTGCTGCCTCAGCTGGGTAGATGTGATGTAACCTCCCGTTAGGTTTATTAGTTTTTAGCCGAGCTTTGTGTGTCAGTCGGGGCTGGAAAGTCTCAGCTGCTACTGTTTGGACTGCAGTGAAATGTGGTGAAGAGACTCAGAGAAAGTCCCACACAAAGGTGGATTTGCAGTGACGTGTCTCAACAACGGTTAGGTGAACTTACATACAAATCAGTGCACACAATTATGTCCTCCTCAGGATAAATTGTAATCATTTTTGCCAACTTTTTGTCTAGGGGCTCATCGCATCAAGATTTCAGGTGACCCAATACTTCAGCAAAAGCTCAGATGCAAACTAGGGCTTACACAATACATCATTTCAGCATCGACACAGGACGTGCTATGTGGAATAAGTTAAATTAACTCGAACAACTCTTCTTACACCTTTTCTTTTTGCTGCCTGACACAAAAAGAAAGCTGGCACAGCTCCCATTTTCCATGACTAATGTACAAAAGAAGTCTGTCTGATAGAAGATAATTTACTTTATAATGAAGCTTCTTGGATTCACTGAGTTTTTCCTTTTTACTTTATTCACAAGACACAGAGATTTGTTGATGTGCAGGCTCCACATGAGCACGGCAAAATGAGCGAGAAACAGGAGGGAGACACTGAAAAGGGGAAAAAAAAAAAAACGGCAGTTACATGGAAATATTTTGGCTACAGAAAGGATGATGTGACCCAAAACAGGCACTGTGTCGGCGGTGCCTTGGAGTTGTTGCCATTATACGAGACAACATAAATAATGTGATTAACCAGTTAAGTCAGCTCCACAACGCTCTGCATGGCGAGTACAAAACCAGTGTTGAACCACAGGAGTCAACTCAGTAAAAAATCATTTTTAAGCGTTTTTAAATCATTTTTTTATTGTCAGTTTGGATGCATCATTCTAGAATGACTCATCCTTTCTGAATTAATGTATGTGAGAAAATCCTGTATTTTTATATATTGCAGTCTGTATTGCAGAAAAACAAACACAACTGACCTGAAAACTGAAATCTGAGGTGCAGCATCTTCTGCTAATTAGCAACAGTTAGCACGCAGACGTCAGTATTTAACTCGAAAGTGTCAATGTGCATAACGACGGTAGTTTTATTAGGAAAAGGTACAGCCTCACAAAGCTGGCGGTGTCGACGCAGAGTCTTTTGACAAGTGTTTTTCCACATGGCTTTACCGCCTCCACACCCTTGACCTCTGACCTCCTGGAGATTTCCTCATAAGGACCAATAAACTATAAAAGTAATCCCAGGATGTAGACTGGGAACATGCAACAAGACACCTGCTACCAAGCTACAGAGATATGATATGACTCCGCAAAAAAAAAAAAAAAAAAAAAAAAAAAAATTGCAAATGTTTATAAGCTATTAAGCTGCAATTTCCTTGAACTTGGTGCCGTCTGTTCTAATTTTAAACCCAAAAATGAAGTTTCCACATGTGGTAACCAGTCTGTCGGCAATGAGAAATAAGTGACATCTATGTGAGGTTTCTTCCTGAAAGATCTTTCTGTATTTTTTCTGGTCACACAAGTAAGCTCTTAGATTTTATTCCTTCCTACTCCCACTCTTGTGAGCTCCCTTTGAAAAGGCTTTTCTTTTTTAAAACTGCACCGCTGTCGTACAAACAGGACCACATCTGTGCTTTTCTTTTGTTCCCTAGTCTGCTGACACTTTTTATAGAATTGTTTACTCAAGACTAAATAATTAATTGCTGCTTTTATACCCGTCACCACAGCAAACACTGACTGACAGTTGTTTGGAGACGATTCTTGAATGAATAGACACAAGCTGACGAGTTGAGTTATTCATCCACGTTCTACTGACAGTCTATTGACCTTCACGTTTATTTACTGGCACTACAGCAAATAACTAGAGAAGTGAAGGACTGAAGCAGCCTGAGCAGATTATTGGTGTCAAACAGAGAGATTACTGGTCTCAAATCTAAGAAAATCAATGAGCATATGGATCGAATGAAGCAGACCCCATCTGCTGCTGAATCCTCATTGTCATTACCAACACTGTTAACCTGCCATCTGTTGCAGAGCTCCCATCTCCTTGTTGCTGAAAATAGTTCTTTATGAATCTAGTTGACTGTTCGGGGTCTTTGTGGCGCTACAGGATGAATTATTAATGTCTTTTTTTCTACAGATAGTTCACTTTCCATTGTGTTCAAGCTCATCGAAATTGCACAGTGGATCTGGATGCTTGTTGACATCTGCACGTTTTCCTGTTATTAAAATGTAATAAAATTCGATCCAATCTGAAGCTGTTTCTTCTCATCGCTTATTGAACCTGACTGCTTACGGAAGTTTAAAAAAAAAATAAAACAAGAACACCTGACGCTCCTCAATCATCATCGTCTTCATCGTCACGTCTAAAATGTCAGCCGGGCGAAGAGCCGAGAACTGACGCACCGCTTAATGACGGGGTGGCAGCTGAACAGCTATTATTTTGGGCTTGTCTCTCCACCTAAATGACTGCTTATTACTGCTAAATGCCAACCATTGATATACGTTTGACAGAGCTCCACTTGTACCACGCTTCCCGACTTCATCGTCTTTGACTCGACGATGAACGGAGTCAAAACAGGCTTTCTGTACGCGACAGGAGGAGGTTTGTTAACCGAAGCAGACTACAAACAGCAATCAGAGCAAAGGCTGCTTTTATATTTTAACTCCACAGACATTTTCATGGCAGTCTGAGCTGAGAGGAAAAATGCCACTATGGTTTGTTTATGGCTCAACCAACGAGTGCAGCTGCACTGCTCTCTGAGGTGGGCAGCGGAGGAGACATGATATATAATCTCACTACACCCACTCAGCCAGAAGATGATAATCTGATTACTGGTATTACCGAGCGGGAGCACAATGCTCCGACTTGTTGACAGCAGAAGGAATTCCTTTGCTTCAATGGCTGTCAGGAAGGAATCATGTCAGCTTCCCTCTGGCGTCTACGTTTCGGCCCTTGTTTATTTTCTCGGGATGTTGTGAAACACTCGGTCCCCTGTCCCGGCGTCTCCGTCCCAGAGGACCTAGCGAGGTCTGCCGCTTGGTCACGGTAGCGTGAGACTCATAAACACGGCCCGAGATGGTGGGATCTGATTGGCCGCTGGAAGGGGAGGTGGGTTTAGGGCGTGGAGGGCGTTCATGCCAAAACAACACCAACTTCTACTCCGATGTTTGTTAAATGTACATCTGAGC